TATATTTAATTATTAATTAAATATGATTTTCTTTCGTATTCGTATGTGGTTAGTCTGCGTTTGCGGTGCCTATTTAAAAAAGAAAAAACACATGTCGTCATTGTTAGATACTGCCGAGTCATGAACGAAGAATGCATCCATTTTATATGAATATTTTTATTTTTCAATTTTATTTGGATGTTAATGACTTTATGAATTTATGTTGAAAACCTTTTTTTTATGTTAATTACTTTATGACTTTATGTTAAAAAAAACTTCATCTTTGAAAATACATTGTTTATTTATATGGGTTAGGTTCGGCCCGCTAACTTGTGAACTTGCGAACCCATATATATTATATGGGTTAGGTAGAGTTTATATTTTCTGACCCGCCAACCCGTGATCCGTCAAACCGAACCCAACCCGATTGCCAAGCCTAAATTTGTATTGTATCAATAACCGAAGCCAATTTTACAATAATAAAACATTTTTTACTTTTCATTTTTATAGCTTCCCCAAACTTTTTACAAATGAATCAATTATGATGGCAACGAATAATGTAAAACTAGTTGTATTTTCTATAATATTTCCCAGTCCCATCTGTTTTACTAGGAACTGAGTTACAAGCTTAGCAAATTATTCTCGTTTCAATAATGAATGAGGAAAATAAAAATTAAGTAATAAAAACATCCATGTCCATCGCAATATAATAAAAATGAGGTAATCGGGCTACTAATAGTAAGTAATATGGTATGGCTGAGGAGATTATGATCTAAATACGAGGTTGTGACATGTTTTGTCACATGGATATGGGCAGTCAATTTGTTTGACGCTTGAACGATCAAAAAACCAGTCTCCAACAGCCAATGCAATTGCCTGTATAAAAAACATCAGTTCATAAGATTATTGGACTAAATAATAGCTTTGGGCTTGGGTTTTTAATTGGTTTTGGGCCCAGCATGATATGAACAAAAAGACATGTTCTGAAGATCAAGACTCAACCGGCCCGAAAAAAAGACTGTCCTAACAAAGACCGGACCTTAAGGCCCAAGACCATCAGAAAAAGAACGACTTGGGACTGCCAATGTGGTTCATTTTAATTTAAATTATTTCTATGGAACATTTTTTTATACTGAAGTTGCAGTTTTTTACTATTTTTTTTGGTGGTTTGTACAAAAGTGTCAGGCTGGCCGTAGTAGCTACAAACATTTGAAATGTGTAAAATTACATAAAAAAAATCTAAATAAAAGCTCAAAATTAAAACCTAAAAGCTTTGAAAAAATACTTGAGATGAAAAGTTTTTTGCTATAAAATAAAAGCTTGTGATCTCAAATGATTAAATCCACATTTTCTTAACTTAAAGCTAAAAACTCTGAAAGCCTCAAAATCATGCTGTCAAAAACGCCTAAAATCATTTAGGCTGTGTTTGGCACGCCATAACTAGGTTATTTTTCGAGCTTTTTTAAATTGTCATATTTGGCAAACCAAAAAGTAGTTTATAAGCTAGCTTTTTAAAAAACTATTTAGACTAGCTTTGTAGGAGTTTTTTTTAAATTTTCCAAATATACCTATTAATTAATTATAGAAACACATTTTTTAAATGTCCTTTTATGTCATTTTATATTTTTCAGCTTGTTATACCAAACGTTATTTTTTATCAGCTAGCTTTTTAACTACCAGCTATCTTCTTTATTTAACAGCTAGCTTTTCAGTTATTACGTCAAACATAGCCTTAGATAGTATGATGATACATTTAGAAATGTTTAACACATTTATATTATATGTATTAAAAACTCGACGAGTGGACTTAAAAGTTGATCTATTAATCAAACTTTACATGCCCATTTATAAATTAATAAAAGTAATATAATAGAACTTTGCCTCTTCCATATTAGTATTAATAATCTAAGCGAAGCCTAAAATCTGACGAAAGAAATTGGCATTTGGCATTTGGTATTTGGTAATTAGAAGTAAGTACCTTGTTCCCAATGAGAGGAGAATTATCCGCAAACCATGTATCCTGCCTCTCGGATTGACAATGAGCAAAACACGAATTTATGAACAATCCGTTTTGTTTGGACATTGAAAAGCGTTTGAGTGAATTGAGCATGTGCTTTCTGAATACTGATACAATCAATATAAAGGTAAAGGTGTATTATTTATTTAATTCCAATTCCAATAAATAAAATTAAAAGGAATCATCACATTTTATTTCTGAATACCTTGAAGGAAATTAATCTGCGAGGGTGAACAATTTGCAGGGTTCTTTTGACATGCCTTCCAAACACCCCGGTGATCAGCTGATGGAGGAGCTAAACTAGCAATGATCTGACACAGTCACAAAACAGTATTAAATCATATGGAGTAGCAATGTACTTTAAAAAAATCTATCCAAATATAGCAATGTCATCCCAATACAAAGCAAATTTCACTGTTATAAATCGGATAGATTTTTTAAAGTATAATGTCCTAATAAAAAATATATATATTCAAAAACTCTGCTATAAATATATAATTAGGTAGATTTTAAAGTACAAACTGCCTTCAATAAGAAAAAAAAAAAGAAAGAATGTAGGATGGCATAATAGGAATAGATGATAGAATAGAATACACAAGTAAATGAAAGTATGTTGGTATTTGTTGCATTCAGCAATAAATAGCAATTTAGGCATGTACCTGCCAAGAATCATAGGCTGCATTGAGGAGGAACATAGGGGTTCTAAGATTGGAAACTATGTTTTGAGGGAAAAAGCACTGAAAACAAAGTATCAGACTATCAGTATCTAGAGAAGAAAAAACACACACACAGATATCATCAATTTTAAGAAGAAGCCTTACAGAAGTCGGATCAAGGTGGTTTGTGCAAGTTCTGGGCAAGTTTTTAGCTGAACCCTGTTGAAATTATTTATAGCTATAAAATCAGAATCTAATATAGCATTAGGCATTAGCATATAATATCAACACTACCTGCAAGCTAACAACACCTTGATACATGTTTCTAAGTGTGTGTCCGCCCGATACATCACGCCTATATTTTATTTTTAAAACATAAAATAATTCATAAAACTGTGTTGTTGTATAAGTATAAGAAATAAGAAATAAGAAAGAAAGGGAATTACGCATCCATGAACATTCCAGCATCAGCAAAACACTTGACTTTAGTTCTTCTTCGGAATAAACCTCGGAACTCATCACAGTGTAAAATAGAAGCCAGACCACCAGCTGAGCACCCCGAAAGAAGAGCCTGGAACATTCCAACATAAAATATTTGTAATTTTTCTTTTTCTTGAAATAAACAAACAATGCCTATACCTGGTTAGCATACCGCATTCCTTTTGACATCAACTCTTCCATTGCTGCCAACCAAATCTTTTGCCCTCTGAATTGCAGGCCATGAGCCTAGAAAGTAGAAAGACAATATATGTTCATATATTTATATCAGATATCCACGCTTCATTTCATTAAATGCTAATATCTATCTATTAATCTTTAATAAAATATTTCAAATGAATATCTTGTTCTTGTGTACACACCCGATCTTCAGAATCCCCGGTAAAAGAAGCCCCATCACAATAACGAACCTTAACTCGGTTCCAGTTAAAAAAATCTGCCCACGAATTAAATTGTGGTTAGAAATAAATGTTGTTGTATGACTATGATAATTCATAATTGTTTGCAAGGAAACCTGGATTTTCTTCAGCCCTGTTGCTCAGGATTCCTGTAAAAGCCAAGCTTTTTTCAAAATATTTCGATGATCCACGCCTTGTTGTTTTACGGTAAATACAAGTTCTTAAACTGTTACACCATCCCCCACCCTGAATAATAATAATAAATATATATATATATATATATAT